CTTCAGAAAAGCACATGATGAAAATGACTACTATCCTATATTGTTGTAGAAATGCATTTTCATGAGGTCCACCCTGCAACTGATATATTTTTGGGAAACCTTTGTGAATCCAACCTTTGTGAATTCATTTTCCAATGGAATTCATAAGAACAATAATTGAAAAGTCAGGGTTTATTTACCACTTGGTTGATTTTATGTTTCTCAGGCCATAATAGTACTTTTAAAACAAAATTGCTAAGCAAGAATTTTCTTCCATACAAATCTCTGAGTTTGAAAATCTTAAGGAAAGTAGATCTCTAGCCAAACACCCCCTTTTAGATGTTTAGATGTTCCTATTTCCTTTTAGTCTTTTTCCTTTGAGGCTCCTTATACAAATTATGGGCTTCCATAACAAACCTCTAAACAACTGTTTTAGAAAAATAGAGCTTTAATAGCAACACTCAGTGGGAAATTGTGGAACTTATATGCTGTACATCAAAAGGTTTCAGACAATTTCAGAAGGTCTCAATAAACACAATGGGTTTCCAACACACTAAAATTGTTAGTTGATAAGGTAATTTGTGTCACATGTATTCTGCATTTGCACAAACAATCCATCTACCTTTCCCCATTTCCCCAGTTTAGCAACGCATTGTTGGTGCATGTAGGAATCAGGCTGACTCTGCTCTAATTTTTTTTTTTTTTGTAAATTTTATTTGAGTTTTCACAAAGAAAAAAAAATACAAATAAAACATCTTTTTTGAAAGTAGCGTAATCCCGGGTTACATTTCTTCGTACAGACACAAATTCAGGTTCATGCTCATTTTTATATTCTATTCCATATCTTATTACTATTTCACATTTTCTGCATAGCTTCTCCCCTCTTTTAATTTTCTCAATTTTATTTTAATTATCTCATCTCAATTCAAATCATTGTATTTATATTTTTTGTCTGTCCTGTTTCAATTATCTATTATCTTTTCTCATTAAACAAAATTTCTCCTGTAGTTACTGATTGGAGTATGACGCCTTTATATCTTTTCCCTAAAGTTGTAACATTCAATATAATACATAACTTCCATTCGGATTCTGCTTGGTACATTCTTAAAATACACACTGTATTCTTAAGAAAAGAAAAAATTATAAATGTATAATATAATTAAAACAACATTCCATTCCAATTCAATTCTATCATTAATATTAATATTCATTAAAGTCTTAACATCTTTAACATTACTTTTCAATTAAATATCATACTTCTATGGGAACAATTATAAGCTTTCCATAGTTAATTCTCCCCCCCTTCACTTATATTTTATAAAACATTAACTAATTAAAATGTTCCCGTTCCTTCCTAATTCAATTTTCTCATTTATTTTATTTCACTTATTTTAGTCACAAACATTTCACTAAATTACACTAACTATTTTATCCCTCATTTTAATCATATGTTGTTTCCAATTTTCTAAAGTTATTTCTATTACTAATATAACAATACAATCTTATGTACCTTTACAGAATCCCTTTTTCAGTTAGATTTTCACCCATTATCTCTAAATAGTCCTGGTTCTCTATATCTTGCTCCAGTCCTTTGTAACTTCTTTTCCTTTCCTTCTTCCCTCTCTTCTTCTCTCTCCCCTTTTTACCCCCTTGTCTCTCTACCTCTATTTCTCTCTTCTGTATTCCCCTTTTCTGTTGCTTTCCAGTATTATACTTATTTTTCGAATTATTTTTCTTTTCTTTGGTTGTTTTTTTAAGTCTTAAATTCTCCATTCTCTTTCCCCCTTTCCTTTTTCTTCCCCACATAAAATTGCTTGTTCATTAAAGATGGCTTCTTCTTTGTCCCAGTCTTCTTGTTTTGCAGTCTTCTCTTGTTGTTTCTCATAGTTCCAAATCTCCATTTCTAAGAATTGAAAAACGAAGCCAAAAGAACCCTTCCCTTCTTGTGCGTCTTCTTTGTACTTTTTAAGTTCCATTTTCAATTCATCCAGAAGTGGTGCCATTGTATAAATTTTTAAACAACCACCCGATTGATTTTAGTCATTCAAATATAATAACCAAGAATCCAAAGATCACCAAATAATCCAAATACATACAAGCTGTTTCTTTTTTGCTCTTTTTTTCACTTTCTCTTCCTGGGGTTACTATTTAGTTGCAAAGTTTCAGTTAAAATGTATCTTTTAGAAGTCTTGTTGAAGTTTTACTGTAGATTCTTTTTAATTCCAGGCAGTCTCCTCCCTCTTCCAGATCCTGAGATCCTGCCCTTATTCTTTTTCTCTCCCTTCCTGCTTATGAAAAAGAAAAATTTTAATGTCCAGAAATCTTATTATCCCTTTGGCATTTTGTTTTATTTTCAGCTTAATTGCCTATTGATGTCAAAGCAGATTTTTCCAATTTCTTATTTAAGTCTCTTAGTTGTCAGTATAGGAAGGAGAGAGAAGAAAAAAAAAGCCAAACCTTTCCCTTTTCCCTTTCCTTCGCTGCTTCCGACTCTTCTTTGGGAGCGATGTTATTTTTTGTAAGTTTAAATTCCAGGATACCTTAGTTGTTGCTTTTACAATTTAACCCGGTCAGCCAAAACTTTCACTTCTTATCTTCCTCCTGCACATTCTTTTCCGGTCGAGTTCTCCTTTGTGGTGGCCATTTCTGACCACCGCTGCAACCGCCTTCGGGAAAGGGAATAATGGCCAGCTGAGGAGGAGAGATGCAGCTCTCCTCAACCCTGCTGGTGGTCTCCCCCCTCTTCACCACCTCTACGGGGTGGCTTAGCCCTGAAACCAGCTGGCTCGGGGCGCTCCAGCAGCGAGCCCAGACAGAAACCACACACGATTGTGGATTTCTGTCTGTCACCGAAGCCCTTCAAACCGGAAGTCTGACTCTGCTCTAATTTATGCAGGGTGGAGAAGCTGCAGTAATCTGTGGAAATCTGTAATCTGTGTGTCTTTCAACATCAATGGAATTAAGCCATGCCTTTACATATTCCAGTAACAGACAAACAGCCCACCAGACTGACAGCCCACCAGACTGACAGACAGAAGAGATAGATGATAGACAGGCAGACAGACAGACAGACAGATTAATTCACAATCTGAATCTAATGCTAGATTCAGATTGTGGGTTGGCTATTTCATTACACATGTGTAGTTTGATTGAATGTGATTAATTTCCTGGGGCAATTATGTATGTGCGTGCATTAATATTGTTAGAAAATCTGGTTCTCAAAATTACATACTTACAGATTTACCTGATTATGTTTGCTTTTTTAAAAAGTTAAAACTAGAATAAAATACATTTTTGGTAAAAAAAAAAGTATAAAATATTGTTCTTTGAACAGCTATATATTCCTGCTTTGTTAAGAAATCAATGCCACCTTGCCAGTTATTATTTCCCAAATTGCTGCAATTGAGGCAAGAGACACAAAAGAACTGTTCTATATATCAAAAAGACAATTGAATTTTTTTTAAAAAAGATTTTTATCTTTTGAATTCAATGTCCCATGTGGAGAGTACCACGCTATAATTTAATTTCAATATAATACATAAGGGCTTTACACACACACACACACACACACACACACACACACACAAATTATATGTATTAGATGCACAAACACCCACATATATTCAGAGATGCACCGATTTGGAAGCTAGCCTTATCCTTTTTCTCATATATGATAAAATGTGGAAATTCAGAGCAGGAAACCAAGCAGCGAAAGGCAGAAAAAGAACTAGGTTACAGATTCATACGAGCATCAATTTTATCATGTACAACTGTTTGGATTTCCTCATTAGCACTTACTCCTTTAAGAACTAGCCTAGACTCCTGGCTATGTCTGGGTAGGTTTATCATTTTATTTTTAACAGTCCTCTTGAGTTAAAACTGGACAACTCTCTTTCCTTCCACAAGGAGAATAAAGCTGTGTACAAGGAACACTGTTTGTGGCTGTCCTCATTAATAGGTAATTTTGTGATTTGACAGCTTTGCCGCTTGGAGAGGCTCCGTTTCGGGAGGGCTTGGAAGATGCTGATGCCGTGAAGCTTGAGCACACAGTCACAGAACTGATCTACTCCAGCCCATTTGCCAGGGAGGGGGAAGTATCATCCTTGGAAGGTTTTTCTCTGGCTGCTCAAAGTTGAAACAGAGCTCGTGCTCTCTATGCAGACAGAACATGCTAATTTCAAAGAACTCAAGGAAGCTGCAGGTAAGTTTTGCCTGGCATTTTACATCCAAGAACCGGAGAGGGAAATGGAAGAGTTTTAATTTTTCTCCCCCTGCAGCATAGATTCCTATGTAGATTAACAAATGCGATGTGTCTCTAAGGGAATAATCCACTTTGCCTATCAGCCAGAGCTGATCAATGCAACAACTAAGCTGGGATAATTAAGGAATGTAGCTCTAATTGTCTAATTGTAAATCTCCTTTTCATCAACTTGCTGGTTTCCCCAAAGACACGGCAAAGGGTGCTGAAGCTGGGTTGCTCAATCTTTGTGTTCAGCCATAAACAAAGCTGAAAACGGCAAGGCATGTCTTTCTGCTTTCCCCATTGAAGTGGGGAATTTCCCCCCAACCCATTTTGAAACCTGTTCTCCACCTTTCAAAACTGGCAGGGGGGCAGGAGTGTGGGTGACCTGCCTCCAGACCTTTTGTCATTCATCTGTGCCAGGCAATATCTCTGAATGGTGAGAAGGACAAACTCTGATAGTTTATCTTTCCTCTCTATCACAACCTACTTGGCAGAGGAGAAAAATAAATCATCACAGGAGTTGCGGTTCCAGCATAACTGTTTACCAAAAAGAATCCCCAAATCTAGCTGATTAATGAGACAGAGAGAATGACCTTCTTGTGGGGCGCTCAGATCGGTGCATGCGTTTTTGTAAACGGGTCAATGCACTGTTGGAAGTCAAGGGTTTAATATATGAGGGATGTAAAGCCTACGGACAGGGATTTCACCTTACATTAGATTCCCTGTGATTATTATTATTTTCCTCTTAGGAAGGCAATGAGAAAATGTATTGACCAGAATGGACAGAAGCAGCCAGACGACAATGGAGAACAACACAGGCAATGGACAGAATGAGACAGAACTTCTGCCAAATCTGGAGGTGGTCACTACTGAATACCAAGTGGTCACTATCTTTTTGGTTCTCCTTATTTGTGGGCTAGGCATTGTGGGCAACATCATGGTGGTATTGGTGGTACTTAGGACAAAGCACATGAGGACCCCTACTAATTGTTATCTGGTCAGCCTTGCAGTAGCTGATCTCATGGTTCTTGTGGCTGCTGGACTACCCAACATTACTGAAAGCATTTATGGTTTCTGGGTTTATGGCTACATTGGATGCCTCTGCATTACTTACCTCCAATATCTTGGCATCAATGCTTCTTCTTGCTCTATTACTGCCTTCACTATTGAGAGGTACATTGCCATTTGCCATCCCATCAAAGCTCAGTTTCTATGCACTTTCTCCAGAGCCAAAAAAATAATCATTTTTGTCTGGGCGTTCACCTCTATCTATTGCATGCTCTGGTTTTTCTTACTGGATCTTAACAGGGAAGTCTACAAAGAAGCCACAGTAGTGTCGTGTGGGTATAAAGTGTCTCGGAGTTACTACTCTCCAATCTATATGATGGACTTTGGGATATTCTATGTCATGCCAATGGTCTTAGCAACTATCCTCTATGGGTTGATTGCTAGGATTTTGTTTCTGAACCCCATTTCGTCTGACTCTAAAGAAAACTCAGCAACATGGAAGAATGATTTGGTTCTCTCAAGCAAAACCAAAGCAACCAATAAGAGCATGAACAGTGCCATGGCTTCAAGAAGACAGGTAAGAAAACTACCCTCCAAATCAGGGGTCTCCAATCTTTGCAACTTTAAGACTTGTGGACTTCAACTCCCAGAATTCCTCAGCCAGCAAAGCATGATTGAGGAACTCCGGGAATTGAAGTCCACAAGTCTTAAAATTGCCAAGGTTGGAGATCTCTGCTCCAAATGGTTTGGGAGGTTCCATCTGTAGCAAGAGTCTTCTCGATGGAAAGTCCAGACAAAATGAGGCTTCCATGTTCACAGGTGCATTTGTACATCATACAAAACTTCCTTAATTTATTTGGTTATCTCTATAACAATAAATATCTCATTAACAATCAAATATTTATGTTCCAAAAATATAAAGCCAGAATTGATATTAGAAAAAAAATTAAACTATCAACACTTTTAAGACTGCCCATAAGTATGGTGACTAAAGTCTTCTTAAAATACCAGTCAATACCTGCACCATAATTTCAACCACAAATTCAAACTATATTCCCCATAATTTCTGATTCTAGAACCAGAAGCTGTTGACAATGGTGATCCCAACTTAGAGCATGAAGCATTTATTGCAGTTGACCTTCCCTGAATGATCTCAGCTAAGAGGGAAGAACTTTTCTTCAGCGATCCACACCCAAGATATTTAAGGCTTTAAGAATAATAAGTTTTGTATGTTGTCTGGAAGCAAATGGACAGCCGACATAATGCCTTTTGCATATAGTAGATGTAACAATCCCTTTGACTCTTTTCATAGATGAACCTGGTTGTTGAATTTTTGCAGGAAATATCTGGACTAGATCCAAAGACAGCCCAATAAAGAATCCACTGCAGTAATCTAGCTTGCAGGTTACCAATGCATTTACCACTATTTTGATGTGATTAATGGATTTTAACTTAGCAGATTGTATGAAGTGAAATCTGTAAAGTGTGTTTTATAGTTTAGCATGTTGTATGAACCCAGACAATGCTTTTTTATTTTATAAACTACAGGTTCTTTTTAAAGTAAAGTGCTTTATGCAATGGGTGAACCAGACCATTTTATCTGGATGACATAAACTGAGGATGAACAGTGGAATGAGGGGAGGGGGAATTGCAGAATTTATGCCCTGGGTTTTTGTTTTTTTTTAAGATTTCCAGAGTAATTTCAGCCCTGTTATTATATTTGAAGAATGAGTTTCTAATGTAACATACTAATGCTTTTCTAATGAGTTCCAAATGTAACATGCATTCTTTTTTAGTCCTTTGAGTATACAACTACAGTATACTCTGTAATAAGCACAGTGATATCTTAGCATGCAGCACCTTTAACTTTTAACTGGTAGGATTATCATATCATAACTATTTAAACAGCAGTGAAATGCAAAATGATGAAACTTGCGCTACAGGATTGAGGTAACACAATGCCTAGAGAGCTTTTTAGATTAAGAAGGTGAAAAAGAATAGCTACAATGTCAAATATCTCTATAGCAAGCAAAAATGCAATAAACCTTCATGGGTGCAGTCTCAACACTTCAGCCCAATTGAATACATATGGTAATCCTTTGAGTTCAAAGAAGACACGCTGTTGTGCAGTTCATCTATGGACACAGAGATGGCTCTGCAATCCCAAACTGGAAGTGCCGAGTCTTGCACAATGGGGACACTGAACATCCACTGTTGCAGTAACTAAGTGTATTATTCTTTGGTTATGTTGATGGTTGTCTATCATTTTTGGCAATGCCTATCTTCAAAGCCAATGGGCTTGCCAGTAGGTTTTGTCAGCAGTTGCAACATCTAGTTCCTTGGCTGCACATCACAGTGGCATAGGTTTCTTTCACAGCATCTGTATAATTGTTGTGTGCATGACTTCAAGTTCTCTTCCCAGATTCTCATACACTATAGAGCAACTGGGGAGGCTTACACTATCCATTCATTCATTCATCCGATCCAACCCATTTCATCTGGGATTCAATCAGTGGTGGGATTCAAATTTTTTTTACTACCGGTTCTGTGGGCATGGCTTGGTGGGCATGGTGTGGCTTGGTGTGTGTGGCAAGGGAAGGATACTATAAAATCTCCATTCCCTCCCCACTCCTGGGGGAAGGTTACTGCAAAATTGCATTCTCTCCCCACCCCACTAACCAGCTTTCCAGCTCCGTTCTCCTTTGCAGGGCAACAAAAGAAGACTGAACCAATCAGACGGGATTCGGGAGACAGAGAATAGATGGGGGCGGAGCCAGTCAGAGGTGGTATTTGCTGGTTCTCTGAACTACGCAAAATTTCCGCTACCGGTCCTCCAGAACTGGTCAGAACCTATTGAATATCACCTCTGGATTCAATGCTGGTGGACTCTGTGATCCAGGATTTCTAGGTTGGGGGTACAGTTTTGTCAACAAATGCCAAGGATGGAGCAGAAGTGTACATGTGAAATTTCTCCAATTGTTGGATATCCCTTTGGTACAGAGTCCAGGACTCAAATCTATAGAGGAGGTAAGGAACAGCCACAGCTCTGTAGGCTTTCAGCTTTGTGAAGATGGAGGTTGATGGAGCATTCTGTCCCAGTACCTGGCTAGCCTTGATGATTTATTTGCCAATGTCTCATCTCTTGAGATGATGCTTCCCAAATCTTTGAAGCTGACATTTGTCAGTTGGATGTCATCAGCAGTGGTTTTTGGTTCTGTGAGCTTGGTGTTTTGCCTGGACGGGTAAAGCACTTCAGTCTTGTTCAGGCTGACAATCAGACAGAAGAGAAGCATAGAGGAATTTGTTCAGCGTCAGCTGTGGATCATTGCCTTTGTCCACTAGGAATATCTACTCATCCTGAATTAGGCACTTCACCTGTGCATTCAAGTGGTGAAGGTCAAAAGAAAGCTTTCCAGTTGGTATTTGGTGTACATCCCTCCTTCAGACTCTGAAATGAAGAACAGATTGTATAGGATATAGCAGATCTTAATACCACATGAAAAGTCGCTGAACTTTCACTCTGGCATCACAGGTTTAATATCCATAATCAAGACTTAATATCAATGCAATTGTAATTATCTCTCTCACAATTTTAGAAAAGGTGAAGACCTCCACTGTCATTACATTCATTGAGGCACTGGGAATGATAAAGGGAATACTGTTTTTTAAACAGTACAAAACTAAACTGTGGATAAGTTCCCAACAGCTGTGATGAGGATGGTGGTGATGATTATCCCCAGTGTAGAAAATTGGAAAGAGGCAATTGAAAACTTCATGGCAGACATGGTAAATAATGTCTGTCAGATGGGGTGATGGAATTTAAGACAATAGGACTTCAAGAGTGGCTATTAGGGAATAACAGTGGAAATGACTAACCTATTATAGGTTTCATGGTTCTAAATGTAACCCGTTGGTCACTCTGTGAGAATAATAGTGCAGGCAGCCTAACATTTTTTCTCCATCGGAGCTCCAAGGTAGATGCCTGCTTGATAGGCTTGCTTTGGTGAGAAGTTTGAGGATGCTATGGATGATGTGTGGAGGTATTTGGTGGTCCTTGTTGATTTGGTGGATGGCCAGTGATACTGATGCCAGTTGCTTGAGATAGCAGGAGGAATGGAATGAGAAGTGGTAGCAGCAGCAGAGGTGAAGACAGCTGGCATGGTGGCAGTGGATCAAAACCTGGAGGCTGGCATGATGCTTTCCTGGCTGGTTGCTGAGTGTAACTGCATTCGGTAATGATCTCATAATTGCAGAAGATCCCTGTTGAGCAGACTATAGTTCGATGGTTCAGAAGCTGTGATCTGTTGTCCTTGCTTCAGTTAACAAGTAATGTGTCAGTATTCCAAGTAATATCCTCCAAAGTAAAAGACTTCAAGACCATCACATTCTCAAAGATCCATTTTATTGGAGAGGTCATATTGGCACATCCGGGGAAAACCTGAATCTGAGAGTTCCGGGTTTTCCCTAACCCAAAGAAAGCCAAGATCCATCCCCTGTACCCAACAGTCCATCACATGGCCCAATCAGGTCTTCACATCAACTGGAAACAACCCCCAGTCACTCCCTTCCAGGTGCAGAGTGAACTGTTCTTGATTCTCCAAGAAAAGAATGCTGTCATTACTACTCTTCCACTGCTCCTTGAAATCCCCCTTCACAAATTCCCAGGCACTGAATGTGGCAGCCCAGAAGCCTCAACATTAAAATGGCTTCCAAAGCTGACAGAATGTGGAATTCCCCTTCCCCCAATTCTTGGGATTGCAACCATAGAGACTGTAAAGGGAGACTGGCTGATACAGGGAGAGGAAGTGGTAGTGGCTGTGGGATCCTGGTTGAGTGAGGTGTTAGAATATCTGTCTATAAAGTCTTGGAATTTTAGATGTTTCAGTCCCAATGGATTTTGTTATAAATTTAGACTGGACTTATCTAAGGATCCATGAAATTACCATCCATGATGGTAATTTAAGGGTGGTATTGAGTTATCCTGGATCAACCACAAATTCAACATATCCTTGTCAATACCACTACAGTTTTATATAATACTTAGAGAAAGGGAAAAAAATTGGAGGAGAAAAAAAATAGCTCTGCCAGAATCTGTGTATTAACAAAAGTACATGGAGAAATACTGTATATGTTCTTTCTCAGCTAGACATAATGTGTAATAAAAACTCTTGTTTTACATTCAGTGTAGAATTAAATTGGAAATACTTAAAATTTGGATTTCCCACACTTTGGGAGATCAAAACCAAAGTAGATGTTTTATACTTTAGCTTGTCATCTTTACATACTGTATGCTTTGAATGGATATCTGACTGCGTGATGGATCATGTCTAGTTCCATTGATTTATTGATGTATCTTTGATTTGAAGACCATGGTTTCTGGGAATTCTTTAGCCTTTCTGCCCTTTCATGCTCAATTATTTCTGTATTTGCGTAGTTTAATGTGTGGTTCATTCTGAGCATATGAGTGGCTATTATTTCTGACCTTCTTTTGTGTATTTGGTGTCTCATGCTTTGCCATACTACAGTAGATGAAATCTACAGAGAAAAACACTTGGAAAAACAATAAGGTCTTTTGTC